ATTGCATCGAAAATCAATAGTAATGCAACCAAATTTGTCCGATGCAATTAATTCTACCTATTGCATCTCTTGTTCGAAATCGGTGCGATAGATCGTACCTATTGCATCGACATAAATTACTATCGCATCCAATTCCTTCTCGATGCAATAATGACCACCTATTTCATCAGATTTGCAAAATTGATGCAATAGTAGCCACCTATTGCATCAGATTTGTGTTTGATTCAAGGTGAAGCGATGCAATAGGGTTAAAAATTAGTAGTGCGTGGTTAGTGGCGACATCGAGCAGGTCGTGGGTGGTACGGGGCTTCAGGCAGCCAAGCTTGTGGATCAGGGACTCACAGGTCGTCCCGGAAAGGAATGCGCTGATGACGTCCGCGTCGACGACATCAGGGAGGGGGTTGCATCGTTGGGAGAACCTACGGATGTAATCCCGTAGGGACTCACTGGGCTCCTGCTGGCAGCTCTTGAGGTCCCAGGAGTTTCCAGGGCGGACATATGTCCCCTAGAATTTTCCGACGAAGACCCTCTTGAGGTCCACCCAGTCACGGATGCTGTCGCGCGGGAGGAATTCGAACCACGCCCGAACATGTTCCCCTACGCAGATGGGGAGATATTGAATGATGAAAAGGTCATCATCCACCCCTCCGGCTCGGTAGGCGAGCCGAAAATCTTTGAGCCAAATACCGGGGTTTGTCTCCCCGGTGTACTTGGCGATGTTGGTGGGCGGTCGGAAGCGCTGTGGGAATGGCGCTCTCCGGATACGCCGGCCAAAGGCCCGTGGTCCCGGGCCCTTAGGGCTGGGACTCCGGTCGTCTGGGCGGCGACCATGCCTGGGGCACGTTTCATCGCTCCCCTCGATGGTTCGGGTGGGACCCGTGTCGCCTGCCCTCATTGCCGCCCGGTGGACGTCATCATCATGCCAGGCCTGATGCTGGTTGTTGATGACACTGCGAGCGTCTTGGTGCGGACCGGGCGTTCGTGTATCGGCGGTCGGTGTAGAGCAAGTGCCAAGTCAGACCGCGGCACAGCCGCTGCCTCCCGAGCCATGCTTGGTGGCTGTGGTAGTGAGCGGACGGAGCGATCCATCTGGTGCGTCCCCACTCCCTCAGTGGGGAGAGAGGGCGCGTGTCGGAGTCGCGATGCGGAGCTTTTCACCTATTGAATGGCGGCAGCTTCTTCCAGCGCCCGGAAGTTCCGGTAGACCGCCCGCTCCTGGAGGTCGACGAGCTCAGGAACGCCGCGCAGAAGCATTGCCGTAGCAGCGATGTTCTGGCTAGCCCGAGTGAACTGTGGGGGGTCGTTCCCCTCGTTCATGATGTCGCGCTGGACCTGGCAGGCGCGATCCTGGGCGTCGCCCGCCGGGTCATGCGCCTAGGGCGCAACGTGCTGCACCGAGTGTGTCGGCGCAGGCGGCGGCTGGTTCTGCCGCCGCCGTCGTAGCTCCTCGGCGTGCTCTTGCGCAAGCGCGAGGGCCCCCGCATGCGGGTCTAAAGAGGTGTGAGTCTGCACAGACTCCGCAACCACCGGCGGCTGTCCCGGAGCGTTTGCCATAGCGCACTCCCGTGACGGACGGTGGCTAGGTGTCATGTCGCCGATGCTGGAGCTGTCACTTTCAACCTCGTCATCCAGGAGTTCGTGGAAAGTGGTAGGAGCATAGCTCACCATTCCCACGAATTCGGATGTGAGAGGGGATGGCGCCAGCGTCCTTCGGAGCCCTCGAGCGCACGCGTCTGCGGGAGACGCGAGGCCGCAGGGGAACCGATCGTACGGTGTTCGCGGTGCGGGCAATACGATCCCTCTGGATAATCGGCGGGAGATAGTAAACAGAGTGTAAATAACAGTATGTACATTACTCACAGCGGGGTTTGAGCAGAGAGTTTGCTCGGAATGAAGCGCAGGTGCCTCGTCGTTGAAGTCGTCGTGCGTCCCGAAGCCGATGGAGGGCGCCCCTCCGACGGGTGCCGGAACAAGTGCCTCCTCACGGAGGTGTAGTACGCCGAGCCGGTCGGCGACGAAGTCCAGGCTTCCGAAGAGGAAGGCCTGGGATGGCTCGAAGATGGGTGGAACCCACATCCCAACAGGCGGGAGTGCGGGAAACTCCAGTGAGCCGAAGCGAGTCGTATCGCTCGAGCCCACCATGGCGAAGGTGGCGGAAAAGTGGGCCATCCGATGACCAAAAAGTGTTGAACGTACAACGTCTTCTCCACGGACGACGCCAACTCTCGGTGCAGAAAGTGACCAACACGTAAATATTTATAGTTTTGCCGTACGTTGTGATCGGAGGTGGCCTAGCACTCAATGACATGGGGTTTATACTGGTTCAGGCAACGTGTCCTACGTCTAGTTTGAGTCAGTCGGTGACTTTATTCCTGAGCCCAGGTGCTCGAAGTTTGCTGTGGGGTTACAAACAGAAGGGAGAAAGATGGGGGGTACAGGAGCCCCGCTATGTGTTAAGTGTTCGAGCGTGTGCTTGTGGTTCGAACCTGGTGGTTCTGTTGTTGTGTACTAGTAAACTGATCGATTCTATCGAATTGAGTCAATTTGGGAGAGAGTGCATCCCCTTTTATAGATGAATACAAGTGAGAGGGAGAGAGTATGTATGCTACTAAGTCTTGTTACCTACGTCGGTGAATACAAGATGATGGTAGGCGCCCACAATACTGTTTAGTGTCAGATGCACGTGGGAGGTTGCGTCGTCTTCTTCAGGTATGGCAGACGTCGGTGCCTGCCACACTGTTGATACCCAGAGGCATGCAAGGGGTCTTACCATGTTCGCCTGGTACGGTACATACCGGCACCCACAACACTGTTGATGTCCTAGAGGTATGTGGGGGAGCCTTACCGTATTTATCTGGTATGAGAGTTGATGGCGCCCACAACACTATAGGGAAAAATGTCGGCACCTATAATACCTCTAATATAAAAAGAGTTTTCCAAGTCTTTGTTGGAGCCCCTCACAAGGATGCCCTCATAAGGCCCATTCTCCCGGTTAGGAAACTCCATGGATCGTCCATAGGCCTTCCCCACTCACAAACGGGTGTCCGTGTGACCTTCTCCCAGATCACTCCCCACCATCTTCACTATCAAGTTTTAGGCCAAAACGCCAAGGGCCTCGTGTCCCCGAGTACAACAACGGGAGACACTCCATGAGTTGGGGGTCTCACAAGGCTACAAGCCCCGAGTGTATAGCACTTGTTGCGTGCAAGCACCAAAAGCTTATGCAAACCTCACTAAACACATAGCACTTTTGCCAATTGCCTAATCTTCTCTTAAGCACTTTTGGTGGCTAGAGCACTATGGATGAGACTCAACTCAACAACTTCCCTGAGCTCCAAACACATTCAAATGACCGGGTATGGGGGTATATATAACCCCAATGCATCAAACTAGTTGTGCAACTCGGGTTGGCTGAAACAACACTCACCAGAAAGCTCCTCCAGTGACCCCTTATGGAAGTTCCGGTGATGCCACATAGACTAACCGTCACGGCCGATCGTTGAAGATTTAAGCTTCAATAGGGAGCTCCGATGAGTGTTAACTCCACCAATTTCTCCAACATTCTCATTGTGACTAACCTCTGGTGCACCTCTCTGGTGACCCACCAAAACATAAGGTGAGGATCTTCACTTCTTCAGCCCTGGACCAGGCCTGACTAGGAAGCTCCAGTGCTTTCTGAGCTTCATTTCTTCGTGTCTTTTCATCCAAGCTTATTCTACTTGATGTCTTTAGCTTCTTGTTTATCTTCTAGGATCTTCATGATAGCTTTTTGACCTTTGTTTGATGTGTTGATCACTTGATCTCCTATGTATAGCATTGCTCAAGTCCATCCTTGCATCCATAGAACTAAAACCTTGTATATAGCAAATAACATTAGTCCCAATGATGATGTTGTCATGGCAAAATCAGTAATGGCCCTTGCTAGGTGCCATTTTCCTTACGACAGGAATAAGTAATTTAGATATAAGTTTAGAGATTTTTAGTTATTTTTTATAATGGCATAGGTGATAAGTTAGGTTTAGATTTAGTGGTTTGCTCTACTTTGTTTTTCCGTTATGACACAAGCAGTTAATATAATAAAAATATAGATAATGTATATTAGTGGCAAAAAATTATGATTAAACACATACACCGTATACTATTAATTCGTTGTCCCAGAGGGTAGACCTAGAACTCTATAGTAGTCTATAGTCTGTAGTAGAAGGGACTCAAGTCATATCTTTATTAATAACGTTTATTACAACTCCTTTCTCTCTTCCATGTCTATAAGAATTATGAGGGACTCATGAGGGCTCTATTGTGGTGAAGATGGTAGTAGGGAGCCTCTGCCCTACCATGTCTATAAGAATTATGAGGGACTCATAGGGGCTCTATTGTCGTGAAGATGGTAGTTGGGAGCCTCTGCCCTACTGTTAGATCCGCCCCAACATTGCTGAATTAACGAGCAAATTAAATAAACCAAGTAGAAAAAAAAAGAAAAAACTAAAACTACCGCTGTATGTCTTTTCTGATACATTCATGGTCCATACTTATTACAGGCAAGAAGAAATTGCTGCTAGCTGTAGCGGCCACACTAATCTTGCAATTTAGTACTGCAACTGGTGGGGCTGGTACCAGCCTAGCGAGAAACGGTTGCCCAGACAAATGCGGCAACGTCAGCATCCCCTATCCGTTCGGCATGGGGAAAGCAGGCTGCTTCTTGGAAGGCTTTGAAGTCAACTGCACCTCAGATAATGTCCCAGTATTAAACTCTACAGGCACACGACTATTGGAAATCAATTTAACCTCTGGCGAGGCTCGCGTTGAAAATAAAAACATATCAGTGGCCTGTAATCTCAGTCACGAAAAATCAAGTGACGGTCCATTCCTTCCAATTGGCCGTTCTTTCATGGTTTCCAGAACCAAGAACATATTCACAGCAGTTGGCTGTTCTACCATTGCACTCATCGCGGGGGATATACTGACACCCATTATGGAGGATAGTACGGAGTACGCGAATGATGGGTGGTTCTACAGGGTCAGCGCATGTGGAGTATTCTGCGCAGATGATAGCAGAACATACGGAGTACGCATTTGTCGCCGAGTCAGACTGGTTTCAATTTGATCCTAACTACGTCAAACCACATGTCTTTGAAAAGGAAAAGCTAAGTGGACAAAGGCCCCCCTTGGTTCTCGATTGGGTTGTTGACAATACAACCTGTGACGCCGCCACCAAGATGGGATCATCATTATGCGCTGACACGAACAGCGTGTGCGTCCATGTGACCAGTGGGCATCGCTGCATCTGCCCTACAGGTTACGAGGGAATTCCCTACCTGATCGGAGGGTGTCAAGGTTAGCATACATATATCTCCGTAATCATTTCTTGTCCTCTCTTGTACTGATTCGCTTCATTAATTATGCTTTATAATTATCTTCTCCACCCATCACATAATGTTGATTTCACTCACTTATATGTTTGACAGACATCAATGAGTGCCATTACCCGTCCCTGTATCCTTGCATGAACAATGGTACCTGCACCAACACCATTGGGGGCTACAACTGCTCATGCCCAGAGGGAACTCAGAGCGACGATCCCAAGAAAATGCCCTGCACTCCAATTTCTAAGAAGCAGACTCCAATGAAGGTGTTCATAGGTATATTCTACAGATTTTGATTTCTAAATGGGGGCATGAAAGTGAATAAAAGAGATAAGTTGCAATTAACTGATAAAAAGGATGGAAATGTCCCTCTTTCTTTTTAGGGCCTGTTTAGTTGGCAAAATTTTTTGGTTTTGGGTACTGTAGTACTTTCGTTTGTATTTGGCAATTAGTGTCTAATTATGGACTAATTAGGTTCGAAAGTTTCGTCTCGCGATTTCTCACCCAACTGTGTAATTAGTTTTTTTTTCGTCTACATTTAGTACTCCATGCATGTGCCGCAAGATTCGATGTGATGGATACTGCGCAAAATTTTTTGGGTTTTGGGTGGAACTAAACAGGCCCTTAATTTCAAAATGTGTCCAATGGCCGTGCAACGAGTTGAACCAATGACAAGTTGATAACAATATATTTTCAGGTATTTCTATCGGGATCGTGTTCGTCATCGTCTGTGACTTTTCTCTGCTGATTGAGTATCAAAAAAGAAGGCTGGCAGAAGAGAAGGAGAGGTTCTTCAAACAAAATGGCGGTCCTATACTATACCAGAACATACTCTCTAGAAAAAATGATACAGTGATAATATTCTCGATAGAAGATTTGAAGAAGGCAACAAACAATTTTGATATAAGCAGAGAACTAGGTACAGGAGGCCATGGTACTGTCTACAAGGGCATTCTAGGGGATAACAAGGAAGTAGCTGTGAAGCGCTCGAAGATTGTGAGTCTGATCCACACTGAAGAATTTGTGCAGGAGATTATTATACTTTCACAGATCAACCATAAGAACGTAATCAGGCTTCTCGGCTGCTGCTTGGAAGTTGAAGTACCGATATTAGTGTACGAATTCATCCCAAATGGAACTCTCTTTCAGTTGATCCATGATAACCACCACACACCAATTTCTTTAGAAGATCGCCTCAGGATCGCTCAAGAATCTGCTGAAGCATTGGAGTATCTACATCTTTCCATCAACCACCCTATTGTTCATGGAGATGTAAAATCTCTTAACATTCTTTTGGACGACAATTACGAGGCAAAAGTGACTGACTTTGGAGCCTCGAGGATGCTCCCTAGGGATGCAGTCCAGTTCATGACAATGGTGCAAGGAACTCTAGGTTACCTAGACCCCGAGTACTTGCAAGAGCGAAAACTAACAGTAACAGAGAAAAGCGATGTTTATAGCTTTGGAGTCGTGCTTCTAGAGTTGATCACAAGGAAGACGGCAATATATTTTCAAGGCCATGAGGAAGGAATAAATCTTGCAACATCGTTCCTGCAAGCGCTTAAGGATAACATAGTGCAAAGTATGTTAGACGCTAGCATAACGTATCATGGAACAGAGGAATTGTTTCAGGAGGTTGCTGAGCTTGCTAGCCAGTGCTTGAGTATGAAAGGGAGCGAGAGGCCTTCCATGACCCAAGTGGCTGACAAACTGAAGGCTATACGAAGTACCTGTAGTGGTATACTGTTGCTGAAGCACGAAGAAACTCAGCGTCTTGCTGAGCAGCGGGGCACAGATTCAGTTGGTGACCTATCCCCAAGCATGTACTGGACGGCACGAAATATGGGGTTGGATATTGAGACACCACATGTAGATCATGCTGGTACTACTACCAACATGCTATAGCTAGGAATAATACTGAGAAACCACTCTGGAGTGTTACAAACATGGATCTTATGTACATGTAGTCATTTTGATCACACCAGGTTTAGCATGTAGGCGTCACATAATCTTCTTCTTGTAGATATAATCGGTGGGGTAAAGCAGAGGTAGAGGCAATTACTGTAAGTGCATCTAACCCTGGGTTTTGGATGATTGAATGGCAACATGATTAAAAGACTAACAAGTTTGCTAAGTGTTGAACAGGTAATTTAATTATTATGGCCCTGTTCGCTTGTTTTATAATCCGTACTTTTCGGCTTGTCTTTTCAGCCGGAACAATGTTTTTCTCTCACAACAAATCAGCCGGAACAGTGTTTCAGCTTGTTTTTTCAGCGAAACGAACGGGCCTATATGCAAACTTGATGATGTTCCATATTGTGTTGAAATGTAAAGCCAAAATGATGTGTTGATTGTTAAGACAATCTAGTTCTAGCACAAGATAACAATGCAAATGAACTTCAAGTAATGGCTTATATATATTGAGGCATCTACGGTTCATATGAAAGCAAGTATATTTAAATTGTTATATTAGACATGAGGTCTTGCATATGGAATGGTCTCATTTAAAGAGCTTGCTATGATACTCAATTTTGATGAAGATGTTTTCACTTCATGGAATTCAATGTATGCTTATTGTTGATTCAAATCATGGTATGAGTTGAATTGGCTTGTGAGGGTGAAGATAGCAAGAAAAAGGCTTCGAAGGGCCAAGCGTAGGTGAAGGGCAAGTGACGGCTTAGGCGCCGAAGGACCATGGCTGTGGTGAAGAAGACACTGCTTGCATTCTAGGGCATAACAAGGAGGCCACGACACTGTCTACAAGGGCATTCTAGGGGAAAACAAGGAAGTAGCCGTGAAGTGAAGCGCTCAAAGAACGTGAATCTAATGCAAACCGGAGAATTTGTGTAGGAGATTATTATACTTTTACGGGTCAACCATAAAAACGTAATCAGGCTTCTAGGTTGCTACTTGGAAGTTGAAGTGCCCATCCTGGTGTATGAATTCATCCCAAATGGATCTCTCATTCAATTGATCCATGAGAACCAGCAACATGTTTCGTTAGAAGACCGTCTCAGGATCGCTCAAGAATCTACTGAAGCATTGGAGTATCTACATCTTTCCATCAACCTTCCTATTGTTCATGGAGATGTGAAGTCTCTCGACATTCTTTTAGACAACAATAAAAATATGCATTAGTCCTATTGACTATACATTGTGCACCAATAGTCTTATTAATTAAAAATACAACAAGCCCTATACATCATTAAATAGTTTATGCAGTTAAATAATTATAATTAGAAATAGAAATAATTTCACTACAGTTAATCATTAGTCACATATATAAGGGTGTGGGCGATTTTATACCTGATGGTGGGGGCGGGTGTGGGTGTACGCCCCCACCGGGTTTCGTACTTGTTGGTAATTCTTAAGATCACAGATAAATCCGTAAACACACGGAATACTGATGTAGCATTTCATCGGGAGTATTCTAGGTATCATATTTAACCACAGGAAAGCAATGGAATAAAGAGTATTGAATATTAACAAAGAAGTATCTACTAATTAACATACCAGCATAAGTAGAGCAGGGGTAAATGTAATGATAGGAATTATGATCTAATGACATGTAGAGGAGACATCCATAAAGAAAAATAAACTAGTTAACTCGAGGGAATAACGGGTGAGGTAGATTCCTATGATATTCTTATTATAAAGTCATAGAATATGATGATATATATACTCGACTATAGTTAAGACGAACTCTACTCTTGTGCACTTCGGGACGCCGCTAGTAGGTAGAGCATCACAGAAGATAACTCAGCCAACGCGACTATGGTCCTACAGATTTAAGAACCTGGTCAACACGGGTTGGACTACAGAGGATATTCGGGGCTGTCACCACCCGCTACCTACCACGCGACCAGGGAGCAGGGTGCAATCATAGGCAGAACAACGTGTAAGCACCACGCTTATACGAGGCTCGACTACTCAGTTCGATCGATCAACTAGGAGACCAAGCGCTCTGTGAACCCGTGCACAAACGTAAAGAATCTTAACTAAGCAAGATATATAATCAAAGTAAATACAACCATGTAGATAAGAATATGATATATTAATAATGAAGTCTCACAAGATATCAAAGTGAAGATATAAGGGCTTTACCGAGCCTCCGAGACTAGATCCAGAACTTGAGCACGAGCCTGACTCGACCCTAACTCCCGAGCTACTAATCTACTATATTGGAAAGCTCTAGACTTGTTCCTCCTAGTGTGTATGTGGTTCTCTTCTGAACGCCCTTCTAGAGGGGTCTGGGGGTCTTTTTATAGGGGTCTTCCGGCACTCTGTGGGCCCATGAATCCTTGGCACGGCTCCATCTCGATTCTCCATTCCAAACCGACTTGAATGCATGGTGGAGATTGATCCTTGGTGGTTGTGGAGGATCCCCGTATCGTGGCCTGGCAAGTGGTGGGACCAGGGGGTTGGATGACCTATAGGTGGGGTAGGCCGAGCCCCCCTTGGCTCCTCCTCCGTCGATCTTCGTCGGAAACTCTTAAACGGTGTATTAGAGTCCAGTGGAGTCGGTTTCATTGTGGATAAACTTGATTTGTTGAGATAGCATGGCCCACTTGGTCCATTTTCTGGATAAATCCTCCTGCATTCATAGAATTACCAAAACTCATGGAAATACTTAGTTTAAACCACTACATCTTTGTTGGTGGTTGATTTAAAGGATAAATGCAGGTTATATTGACGGTTTATGATTGACGTTAACAACCATCAACAGTACCCGTTGCCATCTCTAAGCTACACTGCTGCTACATAGATGAACATTCAAGAGAGTAAAGTCAAGCCTAGAGGCCACTTTGAATATAAATGATGTCAATATCCATCCATACATTTGTATCACATACGGGTCTGAATTTGGATATTGAAAAATGATGAAAACCTGAATTCAAGTGCATCTGTATTATTATTTATTTTAGAGTCATATTATTGATGCCGAGATGGAACCTTGTTACACCCTGAAAAATTGCATTTTCTAAAATAGCCAAATTGATTTATTTAAGCAATTTTTGTGAGCATTGAACCTAGGGAAATAATAGTTTTTATGGAATTAAAATCAATTATAAGGTTAGTAACCTCTTGATGCATACATGCTGCTGCATATTCATTTTTGGGATGATTGGTTTGACCAAATTTGAAAACAAGAATTCAAATCCATTTGAAAAATACTTTTGAAAAACTCTAAAAATAAAAAGAAAAAGGATTTCTTCTTTTCTCTCCATCCCTTCCTCACTTCCGGCCCAATTGGCCTTTTTCATTCCCGCGGCCCGCTCGCCCTCCCCCTCTTCCTTTCCTGGGTCGGCCCACTCGGGCGGCAACCGTTGCCGCGCGCCCTTCCCTCTCCGCAGCCGCTGACGAATCGGGCCCGCGCGTCAGCGCCGTCTCCCTCCTCCCGCAATCGCCGCGCGAGTCCAAGCCGCAACCGCCGTCCGCTCCTGGCGTTGTGGGCGCGTCGCCCCACTCCCCGGCCTCATTTAAAGGGTGCCAAACCCCCCGCGCGCACCCCTGCTGCCTCCCCGCTCTCTTCTTCGCGTTCGCCAGGCGCCGAGGAAGCCACAGCAGCCACCGCAGCACGCGCCGGGATCCGTCGTCCACCTCCGCGTGGTCCGCCGTCTTCGAGCCGCCGTCGACCCCGTCTTTTCCCTGCTGTGAGCTTTGCCGTTCTCCCCTCTTGTTTCCCGTGCAGTTATTTTCTCGTTTCGTGGCTCGTAGGCCAAGTTCCGCGTGCGCCGTGTGCTCTTGCCGCCAGCCATGGCGACCCCCGCGTCAGCAGTGTTCTCCGGCCGCCGTATCGGCCTGGCCGAGATCCCCTGCTCCCTCTCGTTCTCCCGGTGTCCTCGGTTCTTCGAACCGTGGCCCGTAGGCCCCAAACCGCGCACTCCGGCGAGCTCTACGCCGCCGGCCATGGAGCGCCGCCGCCGGAGCCACTGTTCTGGCCGGCTCCTTTCCCTCTCTCCCTCCCAGAACTAATCCGAGCCGTCCGTTCTTGATCCAACGGCCACCGAAGCCGATACCCTTTCGCCCTGGCAGTTTTGCTTAAGAGACCCTGAGTTTTTCTAAGTCCTCACCTGCAGTCCAAAGCACATTTCTAGGCTATCACCTGGCAGGAATTCAAGGACAACTTCTAGTCATATCATATCCTCGATGGACCGGTGGAATTGAAGCAAGAGGAATTCAGATCCCTTAAGCAAGGATCCATGTCTGTGGCGGAGTATCGTGACAAGTTTGCTCGACTATCACGCTATGCTCCAAATGATGTAGCTGATGATAAGGATAAGCAACGCTGCTTCCTCAAGGGACTTTATGATGGCCTGTAGCTCCAGCTGATGTCCAACACCTTCCTTAACTTTCAGTCTTTGGTGAACCGCGCTATTGTGATTGACGATAAGCGCAAAGAGATGGAAGCCAAGAAGAGGAGGCTTCAAGGGCAAGCTTCTGGAAGCAACACCCGCCCATGTGCCAGTGACGGACCCACAGGGTATGCTGGGTGGGCCAGTGCATACCCTGGGGTCCAGCAGTCATACATACATAATAGAAAATTTATACGTAGAAAAGAGAGAGAGAGAGAGGAAGCAACGCAAGTACGCAGCGAATCACGCAAGTACGCAGCGAATCACATGCAAGTACGCAGCGAATCACGCAAGTATGCAGTGAATCGGTTCGGCTTCTGCGCTTCCGCACGCGCGCATATCGCGGACGTGGAATTTGCGCCGGCCTAGGCCTGGGAGTAATTGCACGCGAAGAAGTTGAGTCATCTGTCGTCGTCTTCGTCTCTGCGCCAGCGCCCAGCGGCCGGCCACGGTGGAGCTTTGGCACTTGGCAGTTCGGCGACGGCGCGTCGGGCATTCGGGCGGATCGCGTCGCCGCGTCGGGCATCGATCGGCGCTTCGGCGGAGCTT